TTAATTTCTTGGATATGCGTCATTATTAATGTAAAAACATTTGGTAACTCTAAGAATTTTTTTAATACATCTTTTAATGGTATAATTTGTATCGTTGATTCAATAAAACGTGATTGGCTCTGTACCTTTGTACGGCGTACATTCAACGAGGCACTAAGAGCAACAGACTTTGGAAAGATCATAAAAGTTTTATGTCGAAAGTGTTGCATTGTTCGGTGCTGAGTTTTATAATTATCAAAAGTGTGTTGACTGATGTCGAACATACTGATAATGTCAAATTTAGAGGAATCTGCACCATTTGGACAATTATATTTTCGCTTCAGAGTTTCAATAACAGAGTTATACATGCATCTAACATCTTTTATTATTTCATGTGCGAGGTCTCGAGATATGGAAGGATGGTTATACAGTTTGGCTACGAAAGATGTTGTAGCCGCATCCACAGTTTTTGAAAATTCGATTATCGAAGAGCAAGGTTCTCGAACTTGAAACGAACCTGCTGACACGTCTAGATATGCATATAAGTTAGGTTTTACAGACTCATAATTCGGCCCTATTCGACCATGCGCGATGGTATTTGCGAGTAAGTAGGGAGGCCCTGGGAGAGGGGGCCACGGACCGCGAGCGCAAAGCACCGCGGACGGAACGCTCTCTTAGATCTGAACCGTCACCTCGATCGCAGCGCGTATCAATTGGTAGTCGGAATCGTACTCGCCCGTTTGCGATCGGGGATTTAATGTTCCAAGTAAGTAATTTCTTTTACAGGGACCTTACAATTCAACAGGTCTGACACAGTCGCCACTCCTGCATCCTTCACCCCCTTTTTTTTTATTCCTCCACACTAATTTCCTCCCTTATCCCATCGGTCTTGGTACTGCACCAACTCTCGAACACCTTTTTCCACGAACCAAACCTAATCACCAGTCAATGTCCGCGACTGGTTAATTGAGAATAAGTTATACTAACCCCCGTAGAGCATAACTCCGGGAAGAAACATAGATTCGCGGAACCAACTAGTCCGCGGCCCAGGCATTAAAACTCATTGAGTAAAAATAGATTTCGTTTAGGCTGATCAGCCAATCCCACAGGCCGAGTAGCATTCTCAGACCAAGGTTCAAAAAGAAACCTCAAATCCTCTCCTTAGGTTCAGATAGCCCTGCGTTCGGAATGGAGCTCTGCACGCGGATTAAGTAAAGCGGAAGATCGGCAAACTTAGGGCACGGAGTAGGGACTAACTGCCCTAAACTTTTAGCAGTCTAAATCTGTCCAAAAACCTGAAATTCCATTATTCCAAATCCAGATGATTCAATGATGAAACTATAGAACGCACCGATAATGGGATAAGCCGTTCTTACTAAGAGTCAAATTCCCATATTTCCTTTCCCGGTAGCCAGAATCAGAAAAACAGGAAACACGATAATTGAATTAGGAGTGCACCTAGTTTAATTAAAGTGAACCGGAGCAGTGAACAATTTTCTGAGAAATTTAAATCGCCAATTCGTTCGAAACGGTGCGGAAGCAAAGGCCCTAACGATAGAAAAACTCTAAATCCGGATTCGGTCGACAGGCCTCCCGACTCTCCAGTTTTTTGGTGCATAGGCACGGTCAAAACTGCATACCATTACAGTATATATATTACTAAAACTGCGCATACACTGGCTTTGCTTACAGCGAATAGTACAATGCAACATAAGACTGTGTTGCACTTTCAAATGACCCACATGCTGTGCAATGGTGGAGGTTGTATGAGAGCAAAAGGGGCAATTATACATTGTTGTGAATCATAAACTAATAATATTTATATATAGATATATTAACGCTTGAAAAAAAATGAATGATATTGAAGAATTAAAAGAACTTGGTGTACAAGAGTTTGTCTGAACTTGAAATGCCATAGAGATCGCATATGAAGTAAGTGCATCATACCAATATGGATGTAGTTGCAGCGTCCGTGGACTGCAGCGCACCAGTAATCTCCATAATGTATGATATTTGTTTATCGTACTTTGTTGAGAATTTGTACAAGCCAACTTGAATGAGATACCGTATGTGTTTACTTTCTGGAGGGTAAATAGCATCCAGAACATGAAAGGCTTTAAAGCACGTGTCGATTGCTTCTAATGTCGACGACACTTTATATAATGTAGTGTGATCAAAGGAGACAAAAAATACCGTTGCTTCTTTAATACATGGACCAACAATGATGATGTACGGTTGAACTGTTAGCTTCAATTGGTTCATACGTTCTACTTTTTCTTCACGCAGACGAGATATGTCTCCGGTAATCTGCAATAATTGAAACAAAAAAACAAAAAAGTAGTAAGGTAACATAAATAGTTTGCAGCCAATCGCAATAGTTAATACTGCATAAAAGTATACTTAATATATGTAATTACAACAATGAATGCAATATAAAAAATCTCGAATGTGCCATTGTATACCAAATGTTACATGTTAACAAAGAATTTAACAAAGTACTATATGCATGACTAACCTTAGCATGCACTATGACGCTATCCTTACATTCTTCCATGGTTGGTTTCCAATGATCTTTCTTCACACGTATTCTGCCCTTTGAGGGAATTCGATATGCAAGTAACATTAATTGCACCGCGACTTTAACGTCTACATAAAAGAAAACAAAATGTATATAACACAAATATGTATACAATTTGCAATATACGAAGATTGCATGAATAAAATTTTGATCATGAATGTGAAAATGAATTCCATCTCCATACCAAGTTATTTAAATATTTAAAACATAAAATGACTCAAACGCCTAATTTTAATTAATGAATCCGTTACATGTATAAAATCCTCACCGTCGTTGAGACTTTCATCATCTAATATTTCAAGCATTTCGGTGCAATGTTTTTCTTTATTGGAAATGCAACAAATCTGTTCCATTTTTTCATAAAAAGTTGTCCATGAAGAAATCATCATTTTCCGAAGTTAATTTTAGAAATTCAAAATATTCTTTGATTAAGAGGTAACCCATTGGATGTCTTAAAATTGGCCACTGCTGTATAATATCACGCACGTGTTTCGTACCCAAACTTCGAATATTGTTCTGTCGAAAATTGATCGATGCCTTCCAATGATTTATAACAAATTCCCAAGGGGCCTGATTTTTCTGAAGCCATAACATATGCTCCCGACCCTCAGGTACCACATTTTCTATACTTACAAAAAAACATATAGAATGTATATATACAATTTAATATTATTTATTTTAAAGAGAAATACCATTGTATGGTCCATTGCTATTTTCTGTATTGCTTGAAGTCGAAGATTCATTATGTTCGTTAAACATACTCAAACCAGTTAACTTTTTATACTCTCGAAGCTTATTTCTGTATTTATCAATGAGTTTGCCTCTCGAAGTTATTGATTTGTATGTCTTTGAATGACTCTTTTTTAAAGGCGCAATATAATACGTGGCTTGTACCTCACTGGGGAATGTATGTATTATTTGTTTTGCGAAGTACTCTATACCTTCATTTCTTAATGCTTTAAAATAAATAACAGATAATAAATTAGTAATTACTGGACGAAAAGTATTAAAGGTTATAACCTTTATACTTATAACCTATATACTGTATGTATACATACAGTATAACATTTACCTATCAAACTTTTTCAGTACACATGACACAATGAGATCAACAATTACTTTTCGACATCTTTTTGTCAGTACGTGATGTTTTTCATAAGATTTTAGTACAGCCTGACCTTGAACTGAATCTTGTAATATTTGTTTAACATGTAGACATGTGTGTCTTGTAAACATTTCTCTTTCACGGAAAGAAGATTGCCTCTTCAACGAAAAAGTTTCCCTTTCGGTATAAATTGAATTGCTCACGTCTGATAGAGAATCTGTATCTGATTCATTGCCAATGGTTTTCTGCTATAAGAAAATGACATTTACATCAAGGTTAACAAAAATCGTGGTTTCATTAATGAAACGGTATAAAAATCGTTGATGTAAAAAAAAAACTCTGGTTTTAATGTGCATGTACCGTGATCTTATGCGGTAGAACTTTCCGATATGACAGCGTACTAGTTGAGTTAAGAGTTGGTTGTAAAAGAGCCTCCGTCCGAAGCGTATGTATTGTCAAGTCAAGAAAGTATTTTAAGTACAACATATTGTTCATTACGTTTACATGTCGAATAAACCAAATACTACAACACGGTAGCAGAGGTCCGTGGTTTTTAAAGTTTGAAGGAAGGAAAAGACTGGAGGAAGTGGAAACCACGAAAGGCTGAAAAGGCTGAAAAGGCGAGGCTCAGAAGAGACAAATGCAAAATGGCGTACGTGAAAAATGACGACGTAGCCATACCAGTGTTCGACGGGTCAAACTATCCCAACTGGAAGAGCAGGATTCTAAAGTTTTTGCAATTTAAAAAATGTCATGTGGTAGTTACGCGACCAAGAATGGACACAGATAAAGAGTCAGAGTGGGATGAAAATGACATCAAGGCAACGAACTATATATACAGTGCTATTTCGAACAAACAACTAGAATACGTGAGTAAATTAGAAACAGCCTATGAGATAATGAAAAAGTTTGCTGAAATGTACATTAAAGAATCAACAGCATTACAAATAGTATGAAGACCCAATCTTGAAAACATTGAACTGAAAAATTTCTCAGACGTAACCAAATTTTTTGACGACTTCGAAAAAGCAGCAAACGAATTAAAATCTGTAGGAGCAACAGTCACAGAGAAAGACAAGTTAAACTACATGTTGAAGGCTTTGCCTAAGTCGTACTGTTACATCGAAGATTTAATCGATGTGCTACCAGAAGCGGAGAAGACTGTCGATTATCTAAAAAGTAAAATAAAGCTGATAACCATGGAAGAAGATCAAGAGACCAGCACAAATTAAGAAATCCCTACAAAGTCAAGCGTTTTCAACACGGAGCCAGGGACAACGATGACATGTTTTAAGTGTGGCAAACCAGGCCACATAATAAGAGACTGCAAACAAACAAATGAACGAAGTAGAGGAGGATACTATCGTGGTTCCTCACGAGGCAGGAGAAACTACAGGGGCAACAGCAAAGGAAACTATAGAGGATACTACAGAGGTTATTCCAGAGGAGCCACCAACACAACGGCGAGCCATCAAGGACATCAGTAGAATGTATTTGCTGCAGAACTAAATGGAATCGAAGTAATTAAGGATAGCCAAAGAGACCAATATATAACTGTTTGGATTTTAGATAGCGGATGTTCAGATCATATCCTAAACAACGATAAAAAGTTTGAGGAATACGTAACTTTAAAAGAACCAATTGAAGTAAAATTAGGAGATGGTCGAGTCATGAAAGCAACCAAAATAGGTCGAGTAAATGCTATTTTTCTTGTAAACAACAAAGAAAGTCAAATAACGTTGCAAAATGTTTTTTATGTTGAAGGCATGAAAAAAAATTTAATTAGCTACGCCAAAGTAACATAAAAACAAAATAATCTCGCATAATATTTATTGTATGTCCAGCTTAATTAAAAAACCAAACTACAGTAAAGATGTAAATAGTAGTCAAGTAACTGATACCAGTCAAGAAAAAATGAGTTTGAAAAAGAGATGGCATCGTACTTTAGGGCATGTGAATTTTAATTATTTGAATATTCTTTGCAAGAAAGAATTATTGATAGCCACACCAAAAAAATTACAATCAGATTACATGAAATGTGCTACGTGTATAGAGTCAAAAATGCATAATCTACCTACCTTTTGCAAATAACAGAAAAAAGGCTAAAGAAACGTTGGAAAATATTCGTACAGATTTAAGTGGGCCACATGCAACTACTGGTAATAATGGAGAAAAATATTTCTTATCATTCATAGACAATTATAGTAAGTTAGCGAAAGTATATTGCATTAAATCAAAGATTGAAGTTTATGACTCTTTACTAGATTATATAAATTTAGTGGAAAACATGACACCAAAAAAGGTAAAAAATATAACATACGATAACGGTAAGGAGTACATAAATTCCAGAGTATATAAATTTGCTAGTGAGAAAGGAATACAAATTTTGCCACGTCCACCTTATGTTCACGAACTTAATGGGGCGGTTGAAAGGTATAGTAGATCGGTAATGGACACAGCCAGATGTCTATTAAAAGAAGCTCAAGTAGATTGTAAATACTGGACAGAAGTAATTAAAACAGCAGCCTATTTAAAAAACAGAACTCTTGCTAATACTATCGAAAAGAAAACTCCATATGAAATATTTTTCAATAAGAAGGCAAATGTAACGAATCTTCGTCTGTACGGAAGTTGAGTATATGTTAAAACACCAGAGGAACTAAGAAATTCGAAATGGGATAATAAAGCAAAATTAGGTGTACTACTAGGTTACTCTGAAGTAGGCTATCGAGTTTTGATAAATGACAGAGTGATAGAAGTTAAACATGTTGATATAGTTGATGTTGAAGTAAAATGTATTAGCTTTAAGGATGATGAGGAAGTTGGATCGACCAAAACCGCAACAAATGAAAATATAAACGACAATACCGTAAATGAAAATATTCATAATAAAAAAGAACATGAATTAGTTTATGAATCTGCTGATTCAGCTGAGGAAGATAGAGCTGGAGTTGAAGAGGTGAAATTGAGAAAATCTTCAAGGGTCAGAAAAGTTAATACTAAATATGCTGATGATTATGTATCTTATTGTATTTATGTAAATTATTTTGATACTAATGTGCCAAAAAATGACCAAGAAGCTATTAAAGGGAATGAAGCTCAAAATTGGCGAGAAGCAATGAAAAAAGAAATAATTAGTATAAATAAAAATAATACATGGTTTTCAGTAAAAAAGCCAAATAAAAAGAAAGTGATTGAAGTAAAATGGGTTTACAAAAAGAAGTCACACCAAGAAGCTATTAAAGGGAATGAAGCTCAAAATTGGCGAGAAGCAATGAAAAAAGAAATAATTAGTATAAATAAAAATAATACATGGTTTTCAGTAAAAAAGCCAAATAAAAAGAAAGTGATTGAAGTAAAATGGGTTTACAAAAAGAAGTCAAATGGCATTTATAGGGCTAGATTAGTAGTTAAAGGCAATCAACAAACCGAACAAGTTAACGATACTTATTCCCCAGTAGCAAAAATGGAAACATTGAAAATTTTATTATCCCATTGCTGACAAATGCGTGTGGTGTGTGTGCGTGTGAATATTTCTAGATACCTTGATTTGTTCTCGGAGCTGGATCTTCGAGAAAAAGTAGTTGAATATCGCGTAAGAGCTTGAAAAGACGTCAAAACGAAATTGAAAGTCGAGTAAGAGTGTCGCTCGCTGCTTAAAACACTAACTTTTATATGTTTTCCACCCCCGACGCTTGAGGCCCAAAATTCGGGTAAGGGTAGAAAGTCAAATTCCTATTGGAGGAATTTGGAGTGGTGGGAGTTGGAAAAAATGTTAAATGGACAAAATGGGTAAGAGTGGTATTTGGAAGGCTCTAATTGGAAGAGGAGTTGGAAAAAATGAGACTTCGGAGGATGAGTGGGATGTTGGGAAGTTTGGTTGGAGGATTTGGCTTGGAGTCGAGAATTTGGGAAAAATGTTGTCAGGAGAGGGAGTTTGACGTTCTTTTTCCTAGGAAGACTAAATGTTTACAGTTTGGACCCAATTTATGGCCTCGTACGTGCAGGGGTGGTGTCGGTTGTCGCGGGGGTCCCGTTTCCCTATCTTGAACTTTATGGGTCTTCAAGTGCCGGGGCCCCGCTGTCTTACTCGCTATTTCCCGGGGTCGGCGGTTCGCGGGACCGAAACAGGGTGGCCCTCGGTTGCTTGAGTTTAAACAAAAAATGACATCTTTATTAGTTCGCCAGAGTGGCCTGGGCCTCCCGGTCTCAATCCGATGCGCGAACCGATGCACGTGCAGGATTATATATATTTTAATATATGCGCAGGAGGCGTTACGCGGGACATAACACAACACAGAAGAAAATACTGCCGATATACTGACTAAAACTTTAAGCAAGACAAAGTTTATTGAATTGAGAAAATCATTAAAGCTACAGTAAGGGAAAACTGGATGAAGTGCAGATGTAAAGAGATGTGTTGAGTATGAGGTACATCTGCACTTGGTCTGGAGGTGCTTACATCTCAGCGTCCTTCCCGCGTACTAGTTGAGTTAAAAGTTGGTTGTAAGAGAGCCTCCGTCCGAAGCGTATGTATTGTCAAGTCAAGAAAGTATTTTAAGTGCAACATATTGTTCATTACGTTTACTTGTCGAATAAACCAAATACTACAACAATTTACATGGTTTACTAGTACATGCACTTACCTTAAGTACATTGTCTGTTATATGTGTAAAATGTTCTTTCTATTTTAATTGGAATTTTATTCTAGGTCCGATTTGAGGTATTAATTCTTTTATCAAATCTGACAAGAGCTCTTTGAATACTACTTCGTCGATACCGTTTTCTGTCAAATAAAGGGTAATATAAAAATATTGCTAAAGATTACGGATCACCAAAAGAAATGTCCTGTAATTTTTGTAATGTCATTTAGAAGTGCCATAAATGTATAATTTAATAGTCTTTTCATTAAGATTGTTACTACTTAATTATTACAAGTGAACGATAAGGCTAAAGGAAAAATAGTATTTTGATGGTATTACAAATACTTTCATATTATCTTAAGGACAATGAAAAAAATGCACATGATTTTTCAAAGAAATATCTACACGATCGGAAACGGTGGAAGTTGACACATCACACAGAATCACTGCAAATTTTATTTATTTAACTAGCATCATTAACTAATTAACTCTGCAATTGATATAAAATTAAGGTCAATACATATATGCACACATGGTATGTTTTAGCTCATTCGAGAAGCATAAATACAAAAAAGCGAATAAAAAAAATGATTGAAAAGAATGACTCGGAAAAGTGGCATAAAGCAGTACAGAAAGTTTCTTACCTTCGAACGAGGTGATTAGATGAGCCATTCCTCAGCTTTGTAGCACATCTTTGCAGTATTCATCAGCCATTTGGTCTTCTTTTTGATAAAAACACTATTTCATATGAAATACTTCCTGCTCGCGGTCACGTGCTTGTGTCGCAACAGCCGGTAATGGCGCGTGAATACTGCGCACATTAGTGGGTGCGCAAACACCGCTAACGCGCAGTTCCTATGCGAAATCAGCGGTGCGTTCCAACTTTAACTGTCCGATCGCGATTGGACGGGAGATGGATCACGTGACCGTTTTCTCTCTTCGACGATGATCACACGTTGGGATGCGCGCGCCGCTTGACCACCCTTTGTAGGGCGCCGTTTATTTGTTTTCCAATGTATTCGTATCGAATAAACGTTTGGTGAAAATAATGAATTGCGTATTCCAACTAAATATACATTCATTAAAACAACTTACATAATTGGACACTGGCGGACATGAATGCTTACTCTTTTTGCAGAGGCAGCGCCATATTGACATGGAAGGGATCCATGTCCATCAGTGTAGACTTGCAAGAGATGATATTATTTTCAACAATCGGGCAGTTATTTCTGCTTACGAGATGTATGAATAATGTTTACATTATTGTAACAATCGTTGTATCCACTGAGCAATAATCTTGATAGAAATAAACAAATATGGTTACATGGGTCATGTACTCATTAAATAAATTATTTTTTTAAAGTGATTGGACAACAGTGAAAGTAATCTTTGTAGTTTTATGACATGATTTTGTTGACACATTTAATTACATTAACAGTAGCAGACTCGTTCGTTTGACACAAAAAACAATATTGAATAAGTTAATGCTTATTTGGAGGGATCATGTTCATTGATTGAATACGACTGACTATTTTGACTAAATATCAATTCATCAGTAATGAATGAATTATATAATGCAAATATGTTTCATGTAATAAACGTACATGATTAATACAATCGATGAGCATAAATCATCCAAATAGTCATTCACTTATGCAATGTTATTACCTCTTTCAAAGAAGCAAGTCTACGGTTAATTTAATTACAGATGCCAACAAAATGAATCGACGACGCGTTTGTGTGAAACATAAAATAATGTTGCACCAGTGAATGCTTAATTAAAAGATTTATACTAGTTGATAATAATAATGAGATATGCTTATTATACGAAACATATTTGCATTATTTCATTTAATCATTACTCACGATTGAATTGACATGACATTTACTTGAAACATTTAACCACTCTCAATCAATACGTATGATTCCTCCAATTAAACATTCACTTATACCAAATGATTTTCTCTTTAAAACAAACGAGTCTGCAGTTAATTGAATTAAATATCCCAATGAAATGATTTTTTAAAACTAACTACAACGATTATTTATTTCAACTGTTGTCCAATTACTTTAAGAAAATCAATTGTTGAATGAATAAAATAACAGGCAAATAACCGTCCTTATTTAATTCAACCAAATTTTTTTCTCAGTGTACGTATACCATAAGTAGTTGTTCCGTGTGGGAAGGAAAGTGTAGAGTTACCAATACACCAAGCTGAAAGTTTTAATGCCAATGCTGGTATATAATGATAATTGAAACTGGTGCCGCAAGAAACTACAAATTATTATACTGTGGATAAAAAGAAAGTCTCAAGTTACTAGTACACGAAACTAAGAGTGTTAATGTTAAAACTTGTATCGGAAGAAAATTTAATTACTTTATGTAAAAGGAAAAGAGGAGTGGAAAGATGATCAAATCTAATCAAAAGAAGTAAGGTTTAGACGAATTGATACCAGAAATCACTAAACTAATCTAAATGTGTCGATCGATGTTAAAATTATGAAAAGACGATACCAGTATTAATAGAAAGTTATGAATAATCTGTAAATAATCTAATTTAACGTCAGTGCAAGCAGGGTATCAGTCTGGAAAGATCGATACTAGAAATCAGTAATCTAAAAATGTATCAAACGATGTTAAAACTATGAATAAAATTATGAGAAGATGATACCAGTTATTAATATACAGTTATGAATGTACATAATCTAATTTTTAATATCAGTACAAGCAAGGTATCAGTTTGGAAAGATCGCTACCAGATATCAGATGTCTAAAAATATGTCGATCGATGTAAAAAGTATGAAAAGACGATACCACTAAATACGAACCTAAAAGCGTCAATCAAAAGAAAACTAAACTACCCCTAATCTAAACGGTTTTGATATTGATATTTATATTGAAAATTTGAAACAGTTGTCTTGAAAATGTGATGAAAATATCTTCAACGAAATATTTAACCTAAAAATGTCATCATCAATGTCTAACCTGAAGAAATGTCATGTTATCTGAAAGTGATGTCAATAATCTGAAAATCATCCATTTTTCACGTAACTCAACAAAATGTCACCGATGTTTATATAAAACCGTTCGTTGCATTGCAGAGGGAACGGTTCTTTATCATGGAGAGCGTTGTGTGCCTCACAGAACGCGGCGCGTCGTCGCGCCGAAAGTGGAAACCAATCAGAACTGCAACATATGTGATCACAAGGTTAAGCGCAATTCTGATTGGTTCTTCATCCTCTACGCGACGACACGCTGGACTCTGAGTCTACTATGTCTCTACTTGCGGCAACTCGAGGAAACTTGCGAGAAATGCGGGTGCGATGGAAAGGAATGCGGGTGCGAGGAAAGGAATGCGGGCAGAAGACGATGATGAACACGTCGAGTGAGCGAAACGTGACCTTGAATAATTTCAAATTATTGTAGCGTATAGTTGATAACTAAAAAATCTGGAAAAATTACAGGCTCTACAAAACGGAACGTACTTTCATTATGCCAAATATGAAGCCATAATAAGTTTTCTTATTCGAGAAAGAAATATTTATCGAATTGACTGACCGAACGTTGGCGTAAAGTATTCGGTGCCGTTCGCGCATGCTTTTAAAGGTATTTGGCGCGAAACTCTACCGAGTTTCCTGATACAATATTTTCCACTTCCTCAAACCGAAGACAAATATGAAAAACTATGTCAACACAAATACAAAAATTAGAAACTAAATTTGAAAACAATATTTCATGTGGCGAGCACCCGAAATATACTCCTAGCATATGATCATTTTGGTGCTCGCCAAATAATATATCGTTTCCAAATTTATTTTCAAATTTTTTTATTTGTGGTGATATAGTTTTTAATATTTG